AGTGTTCTGGAAGGGTGAGTGTCATTACTGGTCTACATCTGGCTGTATAAAAATGTTTGCTTGAGCAGCCCAGCTTTATGAAGGCCCTCTTGCTGCATGGCTGCTTTGTTCTCATTTACTTTTGGTCAATGTTCATGTCCTCCACAGTTTTTGATTTGGAGATATCCTTAAATATACTTAGCGGATATTAGGTAGACTACCATTTTTATTGATTCCTTTGGATGAACATCCCACAGCATCCAGTAGAATCTCCCTTTCCCCTTTTCGTCTCAAGGCTGGACTAACCCAGCTCTTGCAGCTTCTCTTGGTAGGCATGTGCTCCAGCCCCCAGGCACCCTGGTGAGCCTCTGCGGGCCTCACTCCAGAATGTCACGTCTTTCTGGTCCCCTGCCCAGAAGTCCAGGTGCAGTTTCACAAGTGTGGCATAGCAAGGACTAGCCTCTTCCCTTGACCTGATGGCAACACTTAGGCTAACACAGCCCATTTTGCAGATGACCCTTGTCACGGCTGGCTTACCTCACAGGCTCATCCTCCGCTTGCTCTCCATGAGGACCCCCAGGTCCTCTCCTGAAAAACTGCTTTCTACCCAGGTGATGTCCACCTGCACCACTGCATGGCATCATTCCATCCCAGCAACAGGACTTTGTATTTGCCTTGGTTGAACTTTACACATTGGACTGCCATCCTGTTTCTGCGGCCTGTCAAGGTCCCTCTGAGCAGCCGTGCTCCCCTGACTCTGTCATAGGCCCAGGGAACTGGGAGGCCTGAGGACAGGACTTAGCAGGAGAAACAGAGGCAAAGACAACACTGAGCGCCTCAGCCTTTTCCCGTGGCTTTTGACATGAGCGGCAGAACCAGACCCAGACCCGAGTCTTCCTTAGTCTTCCTTCCGCTGCTGATCCACTTGCAGAAGGCTTTCTTGTTGCCCGCCACATCCATTGCTAGGTTCAATTCCAGCTGAGCTTTGACTTGTCTAGTTTTGTGCTGGCATGCTTGGGCATCGTTGTGCTGTTCCTGGTGGGTTGATCATCCCCGCTTACACCTCCGTGCACTCCCTCTTTGCATTTGCGGCCAGTCAGGATTTCCCTGCTTAGTCCTGCCGGCCTCCGGCCAGGCCTGCTCACCTTTGTGCACGTTGGGCTGATCATTCCCCTTTGCTTTGAAGAGGTTGTCCTTGAAGTTCGGCCGGCTTCCCTGGGCCCCTTTGTACTCCAGGGATCGCCGCCGTCCCATAGAATCCTTCCAGGCAGATCCCTGAACAAGCCAAAACCTGCTGTCCTGAATTTCAGGTCTTGCTCGCTTCTCTCAAGGTCACAAACTCTGCCATCTCGTAGCAGGGCTGCCCTTAACCTTTACACCCCCAACCAGTGCTTCCTGCTTTGTGAGTAACAGGTCCAGCAGGGCACCTCCCCTTGTTGGCTTGTTGATCACCTGTGTCAGAAAATTGTCATCAGTCCAATCCAGGAATCCCCTGTAGCGCTTGCATGCAGTGCTCCTGCCCTCAAAGCGGATGTCAGGGTGGTTAAATTTCCCCCATGAGTACGAGGACCTGCAACCGTGGGGCTTCCTCCAGATGCCTAAGAAAGGCTTTGTCTCCTTCTTGATGGGGTGGTTTGTGGGAGATGCCCCTCGCAGTATCAGCTCTTCCTGTGCAAGTGTCAGCATTGAGGTGAAGCCTTCCCTAGTGTGCAGTCTGTTATCATTGCCTTCCATACTGTCATCCTGTGCCAGACACAGAAGCTATTTCATGATGTTTTTCATATCCCAGAGACTGCAGCTGTTCGCTGGCTTCTGATTCTGGCTGTTTCTCAAGCCTTGCACATTTCTTTCCAGGCACATGTGGTGGGGCCCCCACATGGTGTTGCTTTTACAAGGGAATTGTGAGAGCCTCTCCTATCATGGGATTCCCCGTGCACTGTCCTCACTGCCCCCACTCTTATAATTTTTCTATTCTTTTGTCACCATTGATAAAATATCCATGGAAATCAAGAATAAAAGTACGTAATTTAATAATAATATCTTCTTACTAATTTTGAAAATTTTGAAACATTTGAATTTTCACAGTAGGAAAAAAAAGAACCCTAAGCTCTAGAAAGACACTATCTTATTAATGTTAATAGTAATCTATTCCATTTATCTATTTAATTCTAAGATAAGGTTTAACATACAGACTTCAAAGCCTTAGATGACAAGATGCTGCTGCTAGGTGCTTTTTATAGTTTCTTGAAATAGATAAAGGCCAGAATGGAGAATTTGGGTCTTTAAATACTCTGTACACATTTATAGTTAGAACTTTTGTAGCAGAAAAGAGGAGACTTGAAGGGAGCTATGGACTTTTCAGTTAGGACAAACCATGCAAGAAGAAGGAATTAGGCAGGCTGCACAGATCCTTGTCACATAAACACCAAAGTATCTGGGGTTCAGTTATCTGTGAAGAAAACTGAATGATTTACTACTGGCTGGAGTGTAAGAGTACCTTTATCTTTTTGAGCTAAGATGTACCAGAAACAAAGAAAATTCTTTGTTGTGATGGGATACTGCTGGGGCTCCCCTTTAATTTTCCTCTCACTCTTGAGGGGAAATTGGGAAAGAGGATGAAATTAGACCATTATCATGCCTCCAAAAGATTATTGCAGTGGTAGAGTGAGAAAGCAAAAGACTGTAAGAGCAGCCAAAACTGGCCTGAGTGGATCTTTGATCGAGCCCAGTGCCCATCTTCACTGTGACCATAACACACATCTAAAGAAGAGTACACACAGAAGCAAGTACAATTATTCTCCCAGATACTCTCCCAACCTGAAGCCATTTGCAGTTCAAGGAATTATATGTAGTGTTATCTTTGTTGGCCATTTTAAAGTGTTTATGCTTTCGTAACCTCTTAAAATGTTTAACATGCAGTTTGGTTATAGCGATGGAATAGGAAACACCTTTTCGCTTTCATGTGGTAAGAGAAGTAGAAGTGTGGAGTAGAAATATTTATTGAAGATCACTTCTGTTTCTACAGAAGTGATTAGAAGTTTCATTAGAACCTGGGTCCAGTACCCTGCAAACCAGCTGGAGAGGTTGTATCACAGCTGTAGTATATGCTTGACCTTGAAGGCAGTGTAGGCCACCTCCCTCTTCATCTCTGCCTTAGGAGTCCCTGAGCTGACTGTGCTGGACCTTGGAGTTAAAAGACTGAAACTATGTTCTGGGTCCAGAATTTTTAATTGACTGCAGTACCGCACAATTGATTTCCTCTGTGTGAGGAGCTGAGGAATCTTTTCTTCTGTGTGGGACAGGATAAAAGCATTGGGGTATTTTGTTGGGTCCAAAGATTTGTATTCACTGTGGGGAGGAAGTGTTGCCTTGCTGTCTTTATTCTGCAAGCTGTCTGGCAACCCTTGATGTTTCCGGGGCAGTGCTTGCTCTTCATGCTTTGCTCTTAAAAATGTTCATGTTCTTTTATTATTCTGCTGATCCTAAGACTTTGTGAAAGAATACAAGCAGTTAAAATTATAGTGGTTCAGCTAAAGCTGAGCAGAGTTTTTGGCTCCATGCTTTCTGCTTCTCCAAAGTGTCAGTCCTGCTCTAAATAGAGCAGGTGGTCTAGCATCTCAAAACAAACAAATAAGGTTGAAAGAGACATTTATTTGATAGTCTTAATCAGTGTAAGTACAGAAGGGAGGAACTGTTCCTCCTCATTATGGAAAAGGAAAATATTAAGAAAGGGATGACAAAAAACTGTAAAATATATGAGCAGTATGGAGGAGGTGCATAGAGAATGCCTGCCCACCGCTGCCCCAGCTATGCAAGGAGATGGCATCAAATGAAGCTAACAGATGGCAGGTTAAAAATGAGCAGAAGGAGGTACTTCTTCACCCACTGCCTGTTGAGGTTCTGGAACGCCATGCCTCAGGCTGCTGTAGGCAGTAAAGGGCAACAACTTTCCAGTGCTGTCAGAGACACAACACTAGGATAGACAGACTATTGGCGTGACCTCATGCAATAGTTCTTACACGCTCACAGAACATAGTGAACGGGTGTCTGCCTGGTGTCTCTCACATAGGTGTTTGTGTCTTACACCAAATTAAAACTGTAGACTTCTGATCCTAAAGCAAAATGGGAATATCAACTAACTTTTATTCCCTATAGAACAGAAGTACTCCAACAGTTAAATATTTTAGTTGTATAGGTGAAAGCTGGAGTGAATGTCATGGAAATGGACAAGGCAGTCTGGTAGGTTTATTATAATTACTTACAGTTCCTTTCTTTTATGGTTTGCCTGCATGAGTTATTCCCAATTAAGAGCCAACTCTTTCATGTAAGAGTATACTTGCCCATTTCTAAGCTCAGTTCATTTGGTCTTCCTTCTAACCTACCTTGTATCACCTCCTCTGCTAACTTCTCTGGAAAAGGGAAAATAAAAAGGGGGTGTGTTAGTAGAACTAATGTAGTTTAGCTAATGTATTGAAATACCAATAAAAGCTGGCAAGATCATAAGTTGACACCTCATAGCTGGTCATGTTAAAACTGTGATGTGAAGGTCAGGTTCACCTCAGCCAAGATGTGTTGACAAAGGTTGACTTCCTAAATGGCAGTTTTTACTTAGGATGGGTAACACTTGTTTTTAAAAAATCAACATGAACAGGCACCCTTTGTTTTTAGTCTAGACAGACCCAGTACTTACTTCATTTAAACAGGACAAATTTACTGCATTGCTAGAGCAGTGGCTCCCAGGCTGCTTGTAGCTAAGCCTCACTTCAAAAAAAGCAACCGTGATTCAGGCCCCGTGGATCCAGCTGGGGTCTTCCAGAGGTCATTAGCTTTAGTTCTGTGCTCCAGCTTTTCAGTCATATGCTTGTACCACGCCACTGAGTCCTGCCCTGCTAATTGGGAACTACTGTCTTAGGGATAACTCCTGAGCGCAGCTGTCTAAGGGCTGGGAAAGCATCAGCAGTGCTGCTCTGGAACATAGATTCTTGCTTCCAGTGCTTGGATATTCCTTGCTTCCTTCTCAGATCCGGGAGCTGGTTCCTGAGTCCCAGGCCTACATGGATCTGTTGGCCTTTGAACGCAAACTAGACCAGACCATTATGCGGAAACGTGTGGATATTCAGGAAGCACTGAAGAGGCCAATGAAGGTAGGTCATGAAAAATTTGTAGATTGAGTTAGGGGGGGGAAAAAAATAATCCTTGTATGAAATGGTGGAATGATCTTTCCAGCAAAAGTCCTGTTAACAAAGGTATTTTGAAACAGGTGAGACAAAGCTCCTAAGAATAAGCAGCTGGGGAGCAGCATGCATGGAAAACTGGTGGAGAAGATTCTGTGTACATTAACCAGCTCTAGCTTCTGATTGCCTTTAAGAAGGGGAGTAATAGGTTCTGGATAAATAAACACTGGTTTTAGAACTTTGTATTAGAATGATTAAAAAGAATAAAATAAGAGATTAGAGGGCGTGCTGAAGAGTTGTATTACATTTACATTACATTAGAATTCAGTCAAAAGCTAAACTTGTGGAATAGCAGAACATACAATGGGAAGAATTACTTACAGAAAAATTGTTTAAGATCCTGCAAAATTGTACACATTTACATAGTCTGAAAAAGGATGTTTCATGTAAGAAAAGAATGGATGACATTTTCTGCAATTTCTATTAGATCAAGTCCAGCACTTCACTGTTCATAAGATCCTGCGGAAATGGTCTTTGCCTAAGCTTTCTGAGTCTACTCAACTGAATCATGGAAAGGTTTAGGTAGGAGGAAACTGTGGAATTCATCCAGTTCAACCTCCTGCTCCAAACAGGGCTGTCAAGGCCTTGTTGAGTTTTGAAAATCTCTAAGGATGGAGGTTTCACAGCCTCTTCAGGCAATCTGTTCCGATGTTTAGCCACTCTCATTGTGAAGAATTTCTTTTCATGTCTTATTTAAATTCTTGTGACTGTATTGAATGCTTGTACTTGTTCAGTAAATCCTGTAGGATGAAGAGTTTTGTACCTGTATGTCTACTGTGACGTAAAGCTGTCAGTCTTGTCTGAACCTCAGTAATGGGTATCAGCCCAACTAAGATCAAGATTCCATTCTGTTTGTCATTGTACAGGTATCTGATAAGAAGTGGAAGGCTTTTACCTCTGATGGTTTTCCAATTGATACATATGAAACAGAAAAAAACCTGAAAAAATTAAGTGCCATTAACATACCTATTTTATAGGTAGGAAACTGAAGTGTGGATGGTTTAAATCACAAGTTTGTAGTCAAAAAGTGCTGCATATAGTAGATTGGACTCTCCGAAGGAATAATTTGTCTTAGAACACCGTTATTTTAAACCAGCTAGGAACTTGGCCATGTTTTAAAGTAATTGAAGACTTAGACTTACATTCATACATCTGCAGGAAGATGTTTATTCTGTGGCAACCTCTTTAACTAGGGAATTGACCAGTACATGAGGTTCTAGCTATAGGCTGTACAATGGAGATATTCGGGGCTGTAATGGGGAAGAGTATAGGAGGCAAAACACTCTACAGAAACCGTGGACAGAAAATTCTGTTTCCATCTAGGGCTCAGCAAACACATTTTAAATATCAGTTACTCAGCTAGTTAACATCTAAAGAATGATCAAACAGATGTTTTTCAAATTCATGTCTAGACTTAGCATGTAGCAGCTGTGAAATTCAAGACCTGTCAAAATAGAGCTAAGCCTAGATAAATGTGGGTTGTTCTGATGTTAAGTATTTTCATTTTATTATAGTTGGAGCATTTGTAACCACAATACAAATTAGCTCTGCATTTCCATCTCTTATCAAAACTCTTGTAATTTTGAAATATTTGCCTTAAAACAGTGGTTCCCAAACTGGGATTGTAATCCTGGGAAAAAATTAAGTTTGTCTGAGATATGTGATAATATGTAGGGAATATGCAGGACTGCTCAGAATTGTCAGTTGTAATTGCAGTTATCATATTGGTCACAGTGATTGAGCTGTAGCTAGAAACAGTCTTTGGGAACCACAGGTTTATGGTTTCAAACACTTCTGATTGAGGACAGTACTTAAAATACGCTGGGCCTATTGATCCTACTTGGATCTTCTGTGAACAGCTGCACTGTTGAAACAGATGACAGCTGTGGGATTGCTCAGGAAGCACGGAGACCTCAGGGTTTGCTGCAGGGGGGAATGGCCTTCGCCCTCTGCCAGCTCACTGTGCCACCATCAGGAATCCCTCTCAGCTGCCAGCTTTTCCAGTCTAGATCCTGCCTTGTCTTTTTGCTCCCAGTTGAGCACTAGTGTGTTCTCTCCTCCTCTTCTGTTGATCCTACGTTCTTGGACTACATCTGTCATGAGTCTCAGAATTCCTCATCCACAGAGCAGCATTTGCTCTGTGCCACTCGTCGCAAGAGTCCTTGCACTGAGTTTATGGAAGACCCACCCACTCATGTGTTCAGAATTCCAGGAAGAACTTTTTAGGAGGGAGTCAAGCAGACAGGGCTGTTTGACTGCAGTGTGGCTAGAGGTACAGATATAGCAAGCTCCGTTGCCTGAAGGAAACAGAAACTGTATGGCTCAACTCCAGACCAGTAGATGTCATTAAAGAAGAATGCATTACTGGAAATCTGAACAGCTACGGCTATGGTGGGCTTCAGGAGTGGAACTTATTTGACTAAGTATAGACATCTACATTGTATTTATTTATATATGAGTTAGTCTGGGCTCCCTTTATAGTTGAGAGAGACAGTGTAGGCAATGGAGTTCAGGGCACAGTTCTTCTCATACAGAAGTAGATATTTAAAAGAATATAGATAAATCGTGCCCTAAAAAGTACCTATTTATCTCCATTGTCTAAGCCTGAGATAACTAGTCAGTTGTGGATGTAAATATAATTTTAAGACAGAGATGATTTTCATCCCAAGGCTTGCAGGGGTCACCTGTCTGAAAGAAGGGCATCTAGTGACCCATCCCACAAGCAAGGCTCCTACACCGAGCCCTGGCACCACAGGCAGTAGTTTGTTCTCATGCTGTTATCCAGGGACTGTCACTCTTTCACAGTGAACTGGTGTGGGACATTGAGTTCACCAGACCTGTGTGTAGTTGCAGTTCCTCAAACTAAATGATCTACTCCCAGGTTCTCCATTTTCAGGTTAAAAAAGAGTAGTAGCATCTGAATACTGTCACAATGTGTCTCTCCCTGGTTTTGTAAATTGACATTCTTTCCTCGCTGTTGTGGTTTAAGCCCAGCTGGCAACCAAGCACCACACACCAACCATACACCATATGGTGTGGAATATGCCTTGGGTCAGTCGGGGTCAGCAGTCCCGGCTGTGCCCCCTCCCAACCCCTTGTGCAGCCCCAGCCCGCTCCTGGGTGGGGCGGTGCGAGGAGCAGAAAAGGCCTTGGCTCTGTGTAAGCCCTGCTCAGCAATAACGAAAACAACATCCCTGTGTTATCACCGCTGTTCCCAGCACAAATCCAAAACAGAGCCCCATACCAGCTTCTGTGGAGAAAATTAACTCTATCCCAGCCAAAACCAGCACTCCTGCTTTCAGGTTTTAAGATGACTTGGATTGTTGGCAGAAGGGAACTTGCGTTTTACTGAAACACTCGGGTTTCTGCCTGGTCCCCTGCCTTCTCAGGCAAGACTGGCTTTCTCAGTGTGCTTTGCACCTGCAGCACCTCATACCTGAGCTCTGCAGTTCTGCTGTTCTGAGAGACTCTCGTCCGTGTACTGAGCTGTAAACCTCGTGCATCCAAGGGGTGTTCCTAGGGGCAGAAGAACAAATAATTTGTGGAGATTTTTGTGTCATACTCTGAACCCTGCTGTCACTGAGCTCCTGGAATCAAACCTGCGCTCACTTCAATCAACAAATGCAGTAGGTACCATTTACCCCAACCTGTGCAAAGCATTTTATTCAGCCTTCATAGGATGTTATGGAGAAAGAGGTGGGGTTGCTAAAGAAAGCTTAAGCTACCTGAGAGCAGTGGCAGCTCTATCACTTTTAGCTGTTGTAGATTCCCCTCTACACTTTGAGGTCAGTGGCACATGGGCAGTGTCCTTCCTTTTCTGTGGTTGTCATGTTGGTCTTGGTGCTGGCTGGGATTAATTGGAGGAATTTCTGCTATAAAATAGCTGACAATTGAAAGGCGAGTTTTATTACTTTGGTAATAACAACCTTATACTGAATGTGATGTGACTGAGGGGAAAAAAATGTCAGGATAGGTCAGTAACTAGAATTCCCTGCAGCAACAGAAAAGTTCTAGCGTTGCTGCAGAAGACCCTAGTGACATCTCATGTGACTGTTAAAGCTGGAATACAGTGTCATCGATGCTCAAAATGAACAGTTCAAACTAGAATGATAGTGCAAAAAACCAGCTTCTGGAACAGCCTAGGGAAAGGAAGATTCACCTTGGGAATGTCACTTGGCTTTTATATGCGAACACAAAAAAAATGGGGAGGGACAGGGAGTGGCTGCCTTTTTGGTAGAGGGGAAGAAAAGTATTGACATTTGGGCTGAAGGACAATGCTGGCACAAGAATAAATGTTAGGCTTGAAATTAGGAAGAAATTGCAATTGCCAGAGAAACAAAATTCCTCCAAAACAAGGAGGGGAAAGATTTCATTTTTGAAATTGTATTTTCATGGGTTCTGAAAAGCATTACATGATACAGACCTGTGACCTGGACTTACTGCTGCTCAGTGACCCTAAGGCACATTGGAAAACTCCACCAAGCAATACGTGGTTTTGATAAGGTATTTTAGAGATCTTCAGGGGAAATGTCTGCACAAGCCATTTAGAGTAGAAATATGTTGAAGACAAAACAGAATTTATGGCAATTTCAATTTAAAACAATTTATTGAGGGAATTTTATTAGGAATTTTCTCATCTGTAATCATCAACCATAAAATTTACAAAATAATAAAAAGCCAAATAGCTGACAGTTTCCCTAGTGTGAGGAGATCAGTCCGGCAACAGCTATAGCCTCCACTTAGTATGCAGTTACATGTTGGGAAAGTTGGGTCATGGCTTGTGGTTGTCTTACCATCCTTAGCCTTAACATGTATGTTGACCTGGGCAGTCACCCAGTCTTTGAAGGTCACCTCAGAGTCAGTGGGTTTAGGTGAGTCCACCTCCTTTTGGATATCCCTGAACTTGGCCC